TCTGGGGCCACCACCAGCAGAAGGACATGGAGCTGTTGGAGCGGGGCCAGAGGAGGCCCCGGAGATGCTGGGAGGGGGGGCTGAGAGAGTTGGGGGGTTCAGCCTGGAGAAGAGAAGGCTCCAGGGAGACCTTCCAGCCCCTTCCAGTCCCTCAAGGGGCTCCAGGAAAGCTGGGAGGGACTCTGGATGAGGGAGGGAGCCCGAGGAGGAGGGGGAAGGGTTTGACCCTGAAAGAGGGGAGATGGAGCTGAGCTGTGGGGAAGAACTTGTTTGGTGGGAGGGTGGGGAGAGCCTGGCCCAGGTTGGCCAGAGAAGCTGTGGCTGCCCCATCCCTGGAGGGGTTCAAGGGCAGGTTGGAGGGGGCTTGGAGCAACCTGGTGTGGTGGGAGGTGTCCCTGCCCAGGGCAGGGGGTGGCACTGGGTGGGCTTTAAGGTCCCTTCCAACCCCAACCATTCTATGGTTGTATTAGGGCTGGATAGGGATCCCTGACACAAAGGCAAGACAGCTCTGCTGTATTTCCAATCACAGCTCTCTGTAAAACAGAGCAGGGATCGGGAACGCCGTCAGACAGACCCGGGATGGAAACCAGCAGGGCTGGAAGAGAGAGCACAGGGGGACACGTCCCTCCCAGGCACCAAGAGCTCTGCCTCACACAAAGAGGAGAAAACAAGTAGAGATACCTCACAACATCCCTCCATCACAGCTGGGTGACAGAAAACATCTGGCACCGTCCCTGGGGAGAGCAAATCCTCTAGATGACAGCACATCTATTTATACAAGCAACGTTTCCACCCTATTTTCTAACTTTGGGGATCAATGTCCTGAACCAGGTTGGCAGACACCCAGTAGGACGTCCCCGTGACTCCACCAGCAAGGTGACAGGGGGCTGGCATTTTAAAGAAGCAGGTGAAAAAAAAAATCTCTGCTGGCTTAAAAATAAAAATTAAAAAACCAACAAAAAGGCCCAAGGTGCCTGATTTCACACATCGTTGTGAATATCTGCTGTTTGCCCAGGCAATGGGTGGCCGTGGGTGACAGGAGTTTGGAGCTGGGACCAGCAGGCACAGGTGGCACGGTGTGTACCTACCCAGGATATGATGAACTGGCGGGCATACTGGTTGTTGGAGTAAATCCTCTCGCGCAGCAGCGGGATGAAGCCCACCAAGTCAAACTGGTTGCTCTCCGTCACGATGTCCTGCGGAGCCCAAAGCAGAGGGCGTTAGGAGGGACGGCCACCACCCCCCGGCCACCCTCATCCGGCCTTTTTTGGTTTTTTGGAAGGCACATGACAGGAAAAAGCTGAGAAGCCGTTGATGCGTGGGGTCAGGAGACCCGGGGAAAAGGAATCATGCGGTTTATTGAGGCGATGAGCGAGTAATTCCCCTCGGGGAGAGATGAACGTGGAGCAGGACGTGGGGCTCCCGCCTGCTGTGAGCCAGCCTGGCTGAACAGGAGGGTGGGAGCATCCCCCTGTCACGCTTCGATGGTGCGTTGCACACCCGAGCGAGCGCCTTTGATGTGACCACACGCCTCAGGGGGTGGCAGAGGCTTTCCTTTACGAGCTCCTCCAACACGTCTCCCAGCAGGAAGGTTTGCAGCAGGAGATGTGGAGACTGAGTTAACTGCCCGGGGGGAAGCACTGCTGAGGAGAAAGATCTGGAGGTCCTGGTGGAGAGTAAACTCTCCATGAGCCAGCAATGGGCCCTGGTGGCCAAGAGGCCAATGGGATCCTGGGCTGCAGAGGGAAGAGTGTGGCCAGGAGGTGGAGGGGGGTCATTCTCCCCCTCTGCTCTGCACTGGGGAGGCCACAACTGGAATCCTGCCTCCAGTTCTGGGCTCCCCAGTTCAAGAGGGACAGGGAACTGCTGGAGAGAGTCCAGCGTAGGGCAACAGAGATGATGGAGGGATTGGAGCATCTCCCTGGTGAGGAAAGGCTGAGAGAGCTGGGGCTCCTGAGCCCAACGTGGAGCAGGACATGAGGAGGGAGGCTCCTGCCTGCTGTGAGCCAGCCTGGCTGAACAGGAGGGTGGGAGCATCCCCCTGTCACGCTTCGATGGTGCGTTGCACACCCGAGTGAGCGCCTTTGATGTGACCACACGCCTCAGGGGGTGGCAGAGGCTTTCCTTTACGAGCTCCTCCAACACGTCTCCCAGCAGGAAGGTTTGCAGCAGGAGATGTGGAGACTGAGTTAACTGCCCGGGGGGAAGCACTGCTGAGGAGAAAGATCTGGAGGTCCTGGTAACTCTGACAATTCCATGATTCAGTGACCTGCAGGGAGGGAGCCACTCACCTCCTGAGCAGCAGAAAAGGAACTGGGAGGGTAAAAACCCATCAGGAGGCAAAACAGGAAGGGCAGCCGAGCTCCCCACCTCGAACCTCACATGGGCAAGGGAGGAAAAACAGCCTTTCTCCTGCTTGGGATGGGGCTGCGACCCTGCTCGGAATGAAACCTCGCTTCCCCAGGCCCCCAGCTCCCAAGAGCTGAATGTAAAGGGGGCTCTGTGATAACCTCCCTCAGCCCAGGGCTGCCTGGGGTCACCACCAGCCTCTCCATCCAAGAGGCTACGGCTGGTGAAAGAAATGCTTCGACAGGAACCACAGGGCTGGAGCTGGGGTGGTTTTAGGAGCTGCAGCCTCGGGGACCAACACATCCCCACAGGCAGGACACGTCTGCAGGGTGCACCAAGGATTCTCTGCCAGAGTGGAGGGAAAAAAAAATACATATATATAAAAAAAATACCTTGAGAAGCCGATCAAGGAGCTCAGAACCGCTTTTGACGTTGGGGTCGGGATCAGCAGCCAGCTGTGAAGGACAGAAACAAGAGCCATTGAAGCAAGAGGGTCCCAGGTCTGCTCCCTGCTCTGCTGCAGAGCTCCCAGCAGGATCCCGGGACCGACGCTCTCCTTTGGCATCGACAGGGACAGACACAGAGACATCCCCTTTATCTCCAACTCCTCCACGGGCTCCAACAAATCCTCCCGGGGAGACTTCCTAAGGGGAATATCAAGCATCCATCGCCTCCCCCAGCCATGCAGGTTTTGATGGGCCAGCACCCACGCTCCCAAGGGGTAAAGAAATACAAGTTGCCAGGGAAAACAGAATACAAGTTGCCAGGGAAAATAGAATACAAGTTGCCAGGGAAAATAGAATACAAGTTGCCAGGGAAAAGCTGGGAAGACAGGCGTGGGTAGACATGATTTTGACCCTCCAGGGCCCATCAAAGCCATGGTGCTGCAGAGCCACCCTGCCTGCCACCTCATTTCCCAATACCACACAACAAGGAGCAGTAAAACACATCCTGGGGGGTGAGGATGAAGAACAAGGTATCTTCCAGTGAACTCCCAGCACCCACAACATCAGCGGCTGCCGTGCTGCTGCAGAATCCCCTCTCCTTCTCAGACCTCCCCGGGTCAGAGCAAACCAGTTTTAACTGGAGAGAAGACCGTGGGCAACTTGGTTGGTTTGACCCAGAGAAGAAGAGGACTAGGGAACAAAGCCTTAGCTCTCCAGCGTGGGCAAGAAAAGCCACATGGGGGTTAAGAGGACGCTTCTCACCTTGCTGAGGCCATCGAAGAGGACGTTGAAGTGGGGGAGGACGGAGCCCCTGGCCACCTTGACGATGTTATAGAGAGCCTCGCAAGCGTAGTACCGCAGCCGACTGTCAGCGTCGTTGAAACACGTCAGCACGGGCTCGATCAGCTCCTTCAGGTAGAGCCCAGAGTCCTGGGGGATGGGGGAAGAGTGGTTAGTTGAGGACCACGCCACAGGGAGAGGGGAAGGGACGGTGCTGACCAAGAACATACGGCAAAAATTCAGGCCCAGGATGGCTTAGTGCACCTATGCTGGATACGATTTATTAATAAACTTTGAATTTTATTCTTGAAATCACAGAATCACAGAATCTTAGTGGTTGGAAGGGACCTCTGAGATCATCGAGTCCAACCACAAAAAAAAAAACAACAAAAAAACCCAACAAAAAACCAAACAAATACAAAACACACCACACCAAACGCCCACCAAAAACACCGCACCCACCAACTAAACCTTATCTAATCTAAATCTCCCCTGCCCCAACTTCAGACCATTTCCTCTGGTCTTGTCGTTCGTCCTTTGGGAGAAGAGGCCAACACCTGCCTCTCTCCACCCTCCTTTCAGGGAGTTGTAGAGGGCAATGAGGTCTCCCCTCAGCCTCTTCTTCTCCAAACTCAACATGCCCAGGAAATGATGGGATTTCATTATTTGGGTACAGCGAGAATCACCTGAGCAAGCTGAGAAATTGTTTCAAGGGAACCTTGAAGCAATCGCTGCAGCTGGACTCGGCTGGATTTGATTCCCAGACACATGCATGAAGTCTGGGCAGTTACTTGAGTGCTCAAGCGCCTTTCAAAGCAAGAGGGGTTTCCTCCTGCTGCCTCACACTCATCTCTGTTGGAAACCGGCCCACAAAGAAATCTGTCCCTGCCTCCCTCTGCCCTGAAGGCAGAAGATGGGATGGATTCCCACCAAAGCCAGTGGTCATCAGCACTTGCAACAGTCAGCCGTCAGCCAGCATTTATCCAACTCCACCAGTTGGTTTTAGCATAAACCCACCAAGTTGGCCAGGAAGAACATCCCAGACAGTGACTGACCAACCTCACCTACACCTTCCATTGAGAAAGGAAGCCACTGGTCTGTTGGGCTACTCCTTGTAACATCAGGAGCTGGTGAGAGAGGCTTCACAAAAAGACACAACAACCAGCACTCCCCAAAGCATCTTTCTGCCCTGTTGTCTCCAGAAACACCAACTCAACTGTGGTCATCAATTAGAGTTAGAAAAGACCCTAAAGCTCACCTAGTCCCACCCCCCTGCCCTGGGCAGGGACACCTCCCACCACACCAGGTTGCTCCAAGCCCCCTCCAACCTGCCCTTGAACCCCTCCAGGGATGGGGCAGCCACAGCTTCTCTGGCCAACCTGGGCCAGGCTCTCACCACCCTCCCACCAAACAAGTTCTTCCCCACATCTCAGCTCCAGCTCCCCTCTTTCAGGGTCAAACCCTTCCCCCTCCTCCTAGGGCTCCCCTCCCTGATCCAGAGTCCCTCCCCAGCTTTCCTGGAGCCCCTTGAGGGACTGGAAGGGGCTGGAAGGTCTCCCTGGAGCCTTCTCTTCTCCAGGCTGAACCTCCCAACTCTCTCAGCCCCCCCTCCCAGCAGAGGGGCTCCAGCCCTCCCAGCATCTCCGGGGCCTCCTCTGGCCCCGCTCCAACAGCTCCATGTCCTTCTGCTGTTGGTGGCCCCAGAGCTGGAGGCAGCACTGGGGGGTGTGTCTCTCCAGAACCGAGCAGAGGGGCACCTTCACCCCATGTAGAAGGAGCTACAGCAGCTGGTGCAGTTAAGCTGGACACATCTGCAGGGCTCAGATTCCCAGGTCAGATTCATTTTACGTGCTGAAGTTTGGCCTCATGCATCGTGGAGGACCCACAGGAGGCTGACCCTCGCTCTGCCCACAAGCAAATAGAGTCATTAACGAGGCCACCCCCAGCCCAAAAGAGTTTTGCAGGAGTCTCAGACCAACCCAGAGGAGAAGACAGGAGGCTGGCTTGTTTTGAAGTGAAAAAAAACCCCTACTTTGGGGAAAGAGGCTCGCGTTTCTTGAGCATCAAAGAAAGGAGAAGAAAGTCAACAATGGGTGGACTAGCAGAGATCAACTCCAAGTTTTATCACGGGCCCCTCAAGGCCACCAAACCCAACTCCTCCACCCCCAGAGCCAGCTGCACGGGCAGCTCTGGCAGGACAGAGTGACTGTCCCTGCGCTGTGCAGGATCCCAGGAAGGAGGGTTTTGAGAAGTGACTCTGTGCTTTAGCAAGAGGACGAAGGCAGGAGCGCTGCCTTCCATGGGATTGGAAGGGACCTCTGGAGATCATCCAGTCCAATCCCCTGCCAAAGCAGGGCCACCCAGAGCAGGTCCCACAGGAACATGTCCAGGTGGGTTTGAATGTCTCCAGAGAAGGAGACTCCACCACCTCCCTGGGCAGCCTCGCAAAGGCAGGAGCGCTGCTCACAGAATCCCATGGGATTGGAAGGGACCTCTGGAGATCATCTCCTCCAACCCCCTGCCAAAGCAGGGCCACCCAGAGCAGGTCCCACAGGAACATGTCCAGGTGGGTTTGAATGTCTCCAGAGAAGGAGACTCCACCACCTCCCTGGG